TATCAAGAAATATTTCTCTAGTCTAAAAACCCTTTTCCAGATGTGTCTCTTTCGGTAGTTTAGGTTCAGAATAAAAAAGATCTTTCTTTTTTAAAAAAATCTATATTTTCTTATTTTACACGCATTTATAATCTGTCTCCCTCTGGGTCTCCCCATTCCCCCTACTATTGGATAACAACAACTTCTCCCCAAATAAAACCTTCACCATACACGTTTAGTTCATCGAAACAAATTCCCCAAAGGGCCATGTGCCAAAATGTATGTCTCTTTCTGCATTTTAATTTCATCACCTCTCCGAGAGAAACTGGACTCACAGTTTATCATTACTCTCATCAGAGTTCTAACATTTTTCAAAGTTCTTTTTCTCTATAACATCATTGTATAAAGTGTTCTAGTTCTGCTCATTTCACTGCATTGGTTCACAGGTCTTCCCAGTTTCCTCTGTAACTGTCTGTTTTTGTCATTTCTTATGGCACAATAATATTCCCTTACATGTGCCATCATTTGTTTAGCCATTCCCCAATAGGAGGATACCCTTTCAGTTTCCAGTTTGGGGTTTTTATGAAAAGAGCTGCTATAATTACTTTTATGCATGTGTCCTTTTCTACTTTCTTTGAGCTCTTTGACTTAGTAGAGCTGAGTACTAAGCTGAGTAGACTTACTAATAGTAGAGCTGAGTCAAAAGGTATTTTAAGTAAATCATGTCATCTATAAAAATTTATTATTTTGTTTCCTCTTTGCCTATGGTTATTCCTTTCGTTTTTCATGTTTTATTGCTATAGTTAGCTTTTCTAACACTATGTTAAATAGTAGCAGTGATAATGGGCATCTTTGCTTTAACTCTGATCTTACTGGAAAGGCTTCTAACTATTCTGTATTACATACGGCTTATTCTTGGATTTAAATAGATACTATTTACTCTGTTAAGGAAAGGTCCATTTGTCCCTATGCTTTCTTTTTTAAAATAAAAATGGGTTTTGGATTTTAATAATTTTTAATAGAAATGGGTGTTGGATTTTGTCAAAAGCCACAAAACTTAAGGAAATTGACTGAGTGGAAAACGAAACTTAAGATCTCCTTCAGATCTTCGTCTCCCCCATCTTCCGAAGTGATTGTATTATGGCCCACCTAAGGGTAGTTCTCTCTTCTTCTTGATTAAAATATTCATCAACAAGAGAAGGGCCCTTTGATTTCTTCAGAACACTCGAGGACAGTGGTCAAAGAAAGAATGGAGTAGTGACTATTGTTCCGGAATGTCAACTTCAAACTGTATTTTAACATACTATTTTCCTTGTTAAGAGTTCTGCAAAAGTTACCTCAAATTATCTAGGGGTATGGAGAAGTCAAGGGCATGAGGAGACTGCTAATTTGGATGTTTCTTTCCCGAGCTAAAAATAGCTTAGATTTAGCATAGTTTTAAATTGCCTAAAACGCATAGTTCAGTACTAGCATTTTTTTTCTTCAGCACTTAGCTCCTGAAACATCCCTCTGCCCTGTGGGAGACAACTTGAGAATGAGGAGACTGGGCTCAGTGTAATGGAAAGAACTCCAGACCTGGGAGTAAGGAGACATAGGTTCTAGTCTTGGCTCTGCCATTGACTAGCTCTGTGACCTTGGACAAGTCAGTCTCACTCTCTGATCCTCAGTTTTCTCTTCTGTAAACATTACTGAAGTAGTCAGTCCTTGTGTTATATAAAGACACTTCTAGCTAAGGGTTCTGTGAGCAAAGCTGTACTGCCACAGACTTACTAGATTCAATATATTCCAGAGTCTCGAACTCTACCCCTCCAACTTTATCTTTTGCTCCCCTCCCCTCTCCCTGAGCCAAGTTTCAGAGCTGGGAAGGGCTTAGTGACCCCTCATTCCTCCCCATTTTAGTACAGCATCTTGCACAAAGTAGGCATTTCAACATTTGTTGAAGGCACTGAAGATGCTTAGCCTGGAGGAGAGAAGACTTAGGTGGAGCATGACCGTTATCTTCAAGGGTTTGAAAGAACCCAGAAGAAGGAAGTTCTGACCTCCAAAGACAGAACTAGAGTCTATGTGTGGGAATGGCAAAGTAGTACATTTAGGTATGACGGGAAGAACTCCCTGTTAGAGGTAGACAGAAGTGGACTAGGCTGTCTCAGAAGGTGGAAAGCTCCCCGTAATAGACAGTTTTCAGGCAAAGGCTGAATCCAGTCCTTCACAGTCTGCATCATCCAGGTCCCATCGTGGGCCCTGCTCTCTGTCTCTATACTTTCTCCTTCAGAGATCTTATCAGCTGGTTTGGATTTAATGCTCATTTCTGCACTGAGGATTCCCAGATCCAGAAATCCAGACACTTTCCCTTTCCTGAACTGCAGTCCTGAATCACCAACTGGCTATGAGACATTTCCAACAAGGGGTCCAGGTATCTCCAATTCAAGTCTATCCAAATCAGAACTCCTCTTTCCCACCATACTCTCCTCCCTTCCAAACTTCCCTACGATTAAGGGCACTACTATCCTTTGAGTCACTCAGACTCAAAACCTCCTTCAACTCCTCACTTTCACCTATTCTATATATACAGGCAATTGCCAAATCTTGTCCTTTTGATCTCTATGGAAGCAGCTCTCTCTGTCTATATAGAGGTAGTACAGTGGATAGAATGCTGGACCTGAGCTCAAAACTGAGGCAGCCCTATTAAGTGACCTGTCCAGGGTCACCCAGCTAGTAAGTGTCTGAGGTCAGTTTTGAATTTAGCATAGTGCCTAACACAGTAGATGTTTAATAAACTTATTCCCTTCTCTTCCCCATATAATATTGATAATCTATCCCCTTAATTCCATTCATACAACCAATCCTTCCCTTCTACTTTCGCAGTTAGAAGGGGAGTGACCTGGGGGTCTGTAGACGAGATTTTGATTGAGTAGTAGAGATGAACATAATAAATCTCAAAGAAGAGTGATTACTGAGTGATGGAGGTAGGGTGAGTGACAATGGGGAGCAAGGAGTATTCCAACTCCTCCACCTCAACCAGTGAGTTGAGGAGAATGAAGGTGCAGCCAGAACTAGAGAGGGTAATCACGGAGTCTGTGTCATCTGAGGGAAGCCAGATTTCAGTAAACTTTGGTAGATGAAAAGAGTGGGAGAGGAAAAGATGTAAGACCGAAGGAGGTTTGTTTGTCTATAGAACAGGCATTCCAGAGGGCACTGCAGAAGAACTGGGTGGCATTTGGTTGAAACTCTGGCGTAGGAGGGTTGAGGGGCATGGGAATAAGGAATGAGGAACTGGGGTGGAGTGGAGGGAATAGGGTTTGGGTGATGAACTGCAGGAATTTAGAATCACTGGGATGTGAAGGGTATGACCAGGCATAAGAATGTTCATCACTAAGTGGAAGGTGCCACTCCTCTTCCCAAAGGAGGCTGGAGATTGGAGCCAACTGCAGTATGAGATAGGAGGTACATGGTCAGCTGAGAGCCCCTGCTTCACTACTCCTGTTCCCTCCAAAGGCTACCGATTAGGCAGGAAAAGGGTATAGCTAGACATGGAAGTCCAACCTGCACAGCAAGAAAAAGAAGTCCCGTTCCTCACCAACTTTCCACTCCCATCTCTGTGACTTTGCACTGACGTCTCTCCAGTGATCAGCATGCTCTCTCTCCCTTCCCTTCTTGGAATACCTGGTTTAAGACGGAGCTCAAACATGAAGCTTTCTCTTTTGTATGTAGCTCTTTGCATGTTGTCTCTTCGGATTAGAATGTGAGCTCCTTGAGGGCAGGGATTGTTTTTTGCATTTCTTTGTATTTCCAGAGCTTAGCACAATGCCTAGCACATAGTAGGTCCTTAAATGCTTATTTAAGTGACTCTGGGCAAGTCACTTAACCCCCATTGCCCAACCAAATAAAAAAAATGCTTATTTCTTGATCTACAGATGTTGAAGAAATTCCTCCAGGTTCAGGTTGGGCTAGGCAGACTTTGGGATTACTTTGATGAACAGCAGTTTGAGCTGCCTTCTCTAAAACCAACACACTGTTTATTTTAAAGATCCAAGTGGATTCACATCATACTTGTTTGTAACAGTAACTTTATAATTTAAAAAGAGCCTGTTTATTTAAAGATCCAAGGAAATTGACATAAATGAAAGAGCTTTGTTGAGATGTTGTAGAGGGTGCATACACCATCAATAAGAATTCCCAACTTTTCTCCACCTTTTTCTTTTTTATTCACTCAGTTTAAATCTATTTTCTCTCCCTCCCATCTCCATCACTATAAAAAAACCAACATAATATTTTAACAAATATGCCTAGTAAAGCAATTCCCCACCCCCATTTACTGAGTGATTCGCCTCCATCTCTTTCATCTCTTTCTGTAAATCCCTCAGAATGAATCCAACCTGCCTCAAAACGTTTTTACATTTTCCCCCCTTGTGATTTCTTGTGTCACAGGTCTGGACTAAAAAATATTTCTTCAAAAAAATTTTTGTTGACATCGACTTGAGGTAAATGTTTGTATGGTTTATATAAATATGTTTGTAGGGTTTAGAAGAGAGTTGATGGAACCTTGGAAGTTGGCTTCTAGTCCAAATCCCATTATTTGTATGGATAGGGAAACTGAGGCACGGGGTGATGGAGAAAAGAATTGTTCCAGGCCTCACGTGGGCTCAGGCCTCACCTCCCTCCCCCCCCCCGTCCCCCGCCCGGGCTGGGGACTGGGTGGGGAAGGGTGGGAACTGCCGCTTCCCGGGGGTCGTCCTGCCCCTCTCACCTAACGGTCCCACAAGGGGCCCCGCCCCTGCCCTTGCACCACTCCCTGGCCACCTCCCCTCCTCAGTGTGCGCGAGTCTCCCTCCTCTGGCCCTCCGGGGCTGCGTGCCCCCTCAGTCCCTCCCCCTCAAGGGTTGCCATCGGGCGCTCCGCCCCCCTCCCCCCGCGGCGGCGCCCTCCCCGCAGCCCCCCCTCGTTGGCCGCGCGCGCCCTTGCCCCCCCTCCCGCGGAGGGCGCGCGCCCCGCACTCCCTCCCCCCGCAGCCCCCCCCTGGCCGAGGGCGCGCGCGCCCCGCGCTCCCATGCGCCGCTGCTGCCCGGCTCTATTTGTAAACACTCCGACCGCCGCCGCCTCCGCTGCTGCCGCCGCCGCCGTCGTCGCCGCCGCCGCCCGCCCGCTGGCTCTGCCGTTGCCGCAGCAGCTTCCAACCAAGATGGCGGCCGGTGGGAGCGGCGGCGGCCTGTCGTCCTGCCCGCCGGGGGTAGGGAACGGCTGCAGCAACAGCAACGGCAGCGGCGGCGGCGGGCCCGGGACGGGCCTGAGCTACAATAATTGTGCCGTGGCGGCGGCCGCAGCCCCGGCCCCCGGAAACCCGGCGGCCGCCTCCGCTTCCTCCGCCGCCGCGGCCTCCTCCGCCTCCGCCGGGCCCGGGGCCGCCTCCGCCCAGGCCGCGGGGAGCGGCGGCGGCGGGGCAGGCTCGGCCGTGGCGGCGGCGGCCCCGGGCCCGGCCCCCGCTCCGGCCCCGCCCGGGGCCGTGGGGGCGGCGGCGGCGGCGGCGGCGGGGCTGGTGCTGCACCGCGAGCCCGTCTACAACTGGCAGGCGACGAAGCCCACGGTGAAGGAGCGCTTCGCCTTCCTCTTCAACAACGAGGTGCTCAGCGACGTGCACTTCCTGGTGGGCAAAGGCATGAGCTCGCAGCGCATCCCCGCACACAGGTGAGCCCCGCGACCCCCGGCGGGAGGGCGCCCCAGCCTAGGGGAGCGTGGGCATGGCCCGCAACCGATCCCCCCATGGGAGGATGGGCTTGGCCCGCAACCGAACCACCGCCCCGGCCCCGGGGGAGGATGGGCTTGGCCCGCAACCGATCTCCCCATGGGAGGATGGGCTTGGCCCGCAACTGAACCCCCCATGGGAGGATGGGCATAGCCCGCAAAGGAACCCCCCCCCGCTCCGGGGGAGGATGGGCATGGCCCGCATCCTAACGCCCCCCTCCCAGGATGAGGATGGTCCCCATCTCAGCCCCTTTTCCCATTGTACCCCCAACCCTTTTGAAAACAAAGAGCTGGGTAGCCCCTGGAGAGCCAGGGAGGGCGCCCCCAGATCGGGGGCGGATGGGCATGGTCTCCATCTGAAAACCCACGAAAGGAGAGAGCCGTGCAGCCTACGAAGAACCAAGGAGGGTGCCCCTAGACTAGGGGAGGATGGGGAATCCAACCCCCTCCTCCCCATTGTTCCCCCAGCGCCTCTGAAAAGAAAGAGCTGGGCAGCCCTGGAGAGCTAAGGAGGGCGCCCCCAGACAGGGGGAGGGTGGGGATGGCTCCCATCCAACACTCTCCCTCCATTGTACCCCCACCCCCTTTGAAAAGAAAGAACTGGGCAGCCCTGGAGAACCAGGGAGGGCTCCCTTAGACGGGGGTGGATTGGGATGGTCCCCAGCTGAAACCCCTCCCTCTATTCTGTCCTTCCACTTCAATCCCAGCACTCGTGGACAAAAAAAAGCTAGGCAGCTCCTCAGAGAGCACCACACTAAGATAAGGGGAAGATGGTGCTGGCCACTCATTGGAAACCCCCCACTGTTGTACTCCAGCCCCTCTGAAAGGAGAGAGCCAAGAGTCCTCAGAGAGTCGAAGAGGGAATGTCCAGTTAGGAGGATAATGAATGTGTGTTCCCTTATCTGAATACTCCCCCCCCCCCATGGTCCCCCTCGCTAGCGACCCTGCAGGGAAAAAGCCAGGCAGTCCTCCTAGAGCCACCGGGTAGTTTCCAGTTAAGAGGGTGATGATGAGGTCTATTCACTAGAAACTCCCAACTACTCTCTTCTCACCCCCCCCCGCCCCCATTTCCCCCTGCAGGGAAAAAGCTGGGCAGGGCAGTGTCTTGGGAGAGCCACAGAGGGAGCCTCCAGTGATGATGTGATGAGAATAGCCCCTTCTCTGGAACTCCCCCACTGTGAAGTTCACCACAGCCCTGCAGAGAAAAAGAGGGGCAGTCCTCCCACAGCCACAGAGGGAGCCTCCAGTTATCAGGATGATAGTGGCCCCCTCCTTGGTACTACTTCCAGAATTCCTGTTGCCCTTGCCTCTCTTCAGGCTCCCCAAACCCGGCCCCTCCCCACTGATTGCCCTTTGCCACTTTCTGCAGATAAACCTCTCTATGGTCCTCCATCTCTACTCTTCCCTTTAGATCAAAGTCTCTACTATTCCCCCCTACCCAGGTACCCTGTTCTCTTTTACAGTTTGTTGTTCCTGAACCTCCTTCCTCTGATACCTTTACCCTTATTTCTCAAAACCCCCAAACCCCCCAAATCCAAAACCAAACCCCTTCTTAGAATATACCTTTCTGTTTTAAGGGTGTCAGCCCCTACATTCTTCATTGTCCTTCGTTGCCTTTCCTTGCCCTGTTTTTCAGGTGTGGGCCCCCTCCCCACCATTGACTTAAGAGGAGGTTTCTCCTGCCCTCTTAGTGGGAGAGTTGCTTTTGTGTTTCTAAGGCTCCCAGTTTGCCCTCAGGGTTCATACCTTCTCTTGGCTCACTGCCCCTTTTTAGAATTGGTTTTTTTTTCTCGGTCCTGTTCTCCCTTCTCTCCTTCACCTCCCCCCCCACTTTCCCTCCCATGGACCACAGTTTCTCTGTTTGTAAACTGATTGCGTTGGACCAAATGCTCTCTAAGGGCCCTGTGATTTGATGTCACCTTGAACCCTTAATTCTTAAACAGTCTCTCAAAAAGAACAAAGGAAGCAGTGAGTAAATTCTGGCTCCCCTCCTTTAACTCCCCTCTCTTCCTCAACCCACTGGTTTTCACATCATTTTTGTTACTCCTCCAGCCACATCTCCTGTCCTTTAGGTGGGTAGGTAGTTAGGTACTAAATATATCTTGGTCACTTGGTTATTGAATAGGATAGTAGATACTCGAGACAGCTTCCCTTTCATTCCTACCTTCTTGTATTACAGTCTTTACTGTATGTACTTGCATTTACACTTTTTGAAGGCAGAGACCATGGCCATACTCCTTTTATATTCTCCATGGTGTGAAGCATATGGGGCATGAAATGAATACTTGGTTGAACTGCAAATGCTTTACCTTCTGTGGAAGGCCTTTCTTGACCATCCTACCCCATAGCAATAGTTCCCCCTTCTGAAATGCAGCAGTTAGGATTTATGCTATTCATTTGAGACTTACCACTTATTCCTTTGTATAATTACTTGAATATAAGACAGTCTCTTTCCCCAATCAGATTGCACAAGGTCAGTGACCCATGAAAATGGCAACTAGCACAGTCTCTTATATGGTAACTTGGATTAGGGGAGGAAGGGAACAGGCGTTTTATTATTATTTTTATTTTTTTGGCTAGGCAGTGGGATTAAGTGACTTGCCACGGGTCAACACAGCTAGTGTTATGTGTATGTCTACTGCACCACTTAGCTGCCCCAAAACAGGCATTTTAAAATTACCTACTATGTTCCAGGCAGCATACTAAGGACTTTACAGATAATATCTCATTTGATCTGAATTTGGAGTCAGAAGACTCAAGTTTGAATTGGTTCTTGGTACTTGAATAGCTGTATGACTTTGGGCAAATCATTTAATTACTGAAATGAGTAGGAGAAGGGTGATGCAATTAAACAAACATCTTCTCTTGGCTAAGCCTGGGATGGAAAGGGAAGACTTTTTAGAGGTGAGGTGTTTTTAGTTCAATTGATTTCATAAATTCATCAATGTTTGACATCTCAGAGAATATAAAAAGGAATTTATGGCAAACGTGGCCCCTGCCCCTCAGGATTTACACATAAGCAGTGAGGCATGAAAGGGAAGAAGTCAGAAATATTATGGTCTAGTAGGGGAAAAGAAAGCAATAAGAAGTAGAAAACAAGCCTTGTGTTTACGGGTCCATTTCAGTTTAAATCCTGTGATCTTTTGTAGGAGGTGATCAGTGAATGTTGGCTGCTTGGTATATTTGCAGTGTGCTAGTCTTTAGTTCTCCCCTCAGAAGCTTACTGTGCCCTGCTTGACCCACCATGCCCAGCGAAAATTTTCTGTTGTGCTTTCAAACCAAGTATTCCTATTTGCCTTTACTTGTGTACCTTTCTGTAGCCTTCTTGCCCTCTGCCAAATTGTTTTCATCTCCCCCCGGGGATCTTTGCACAGATATTTTTGTATGTTGGACTTTAAGCCAGATTCTTTATTGTCATTCCTGGTAAGAGATATTTTATTGTTTCTTGAAGTGTCATGCACCTTCTTTTGGGCCTTAAATACCTTTCCTGTTTGTGTGTTGTTAATAGACAAGGGACTTTCAGGAGTAAGATTACATGCACAGCATAATGAGAAGAGTGCAGGAGAAACCAGCCAGCTCCTTGATCCTCACGTGCTACCTCTTCTTTCTCTTGTTGCTCTAGAGATGTGATCAGGTTGAATTGATGTTTCTTCGACTTCACACATAGGTCCACTCTGAAGTGGAATTTTTACCCACTAATCTTGTTGGTTTTTAGAAGAAAGGGGTTGATGGCATTAAGGAAGATGAGAAGGCAAATGGTAACTGTTAATGATAAAGGAAGCCAATTAAGTACTCCTGTGTTTGAAACCAGGCTTCCTCAAAGGGAAATCTTATAGGATGGAGGCTTGGAGAAGTGTTACATTGCTTTCTGAGTTGGAGGGGAGAGGGAGGAGGTATTCAGAGTGGAATGTAAAGTTGCCAACAATATACTAGGATCCTGTGCAGTGTAGATAGTCAAAGTAGAGAAGATTGTCTACGTAAGAGCCAAGTATGATAACTGTAAGTTGTGGATGCACGGGGGCAAGAACTACTGTCTAGGCAGTGATTTTAGTACTGCCTTCTGGCTCTATTCGTTATTGTTGCATTCACCAAAGAAATGAATGCCATTTCAGCAGCAGTTAGAGGCATCTTGGTACAGTGGAAAGAACGCTAGTGCTGTGAGTCATCAAACCTGGATTCTGATCCTGACTGCTATTAATTTGCTCTGGGACTTTGAAGAAATGGCTTTTCTCCTTAGGATCTCAGTTTTATCATTTACAAAGCTAGGAATTTGAACTAGTGGCCCTCACAATTCTAATGCTGTGATTTGTTGTGCTTGTACAAGTTGGAGGGTTTCACTGGAGATTTAATCGGTCTCTGCTCTTTCATCTCCTGACATTTTGCATATTTTACTTAGTTTATTCTGAATGATAAAAAATTATTTTAGGGCACTGAGGTGGTGCAGTGGATAGAGCATGGGCTTAGAAGTCAGGAGGACCTGAGTTCAAATCTGGCCTCCGACACTTGACACTTACTAGCTCTGTGACCCAGGGCAAGTCACTTAACTCCACCCTGGTCAAAGGAAAAAAAATTATTTTAAAATATACTTAACGAATATTTGTTAGTAATTAGTTTTGGACAGTGTATTTCCATATCAACTGCAAATGAATTTATAAGTGGTTGTTATTAAATAATGCAATTGCAAAATCCTTTAGCAAAGGATAACAATGATTTTGAATTACTTGTTAACTAAGTCACATGATTTTCAGACGTCATTTCCTTAAAATAAAATTTTGAAATTTAGCAGATGCACAGAGAAATTGACATTCCTAGTTAGGCCATTTTTTTGTTTTGCTAGAAATACAACGTAGCTGGAGTACTTGTGAGAGAAAATAATGTTCATAATAATTTTCATTGTTGAAAAATTCTGTAGAATGACAATACAAATAATTTGCCTTTATGTA